ACACACACACACACACACACACACACACACACACACACACACACACACACACACACACACACACTACATCAAGCTTAACTGAAGAACTTTCTGGAAACCTTAAATCCAATGTTTCGATCAAAATAATAATAGCTGCTGTAAATTTGTCAAATGTGAAAATATGAGATGACATAAGCCTCACTCAAAGCAATGCCAAGCACAGGCTTATCCACTTCACAAACTAACTGTTATGACAAGAAATCTCCTAACTTTGAATTAGCACACCAATGCTTGTATAACCTGAACTGTTTATGAAAAAATGTATACAACCACTTGTACAGCAGGGATGGGAGATGTATCCATTTTATAATACTGTTAGGCCTTTCTCATATCATACCACAGTAATACAGTCTGTCTAGAAAGACTTATTAGATTGTGTTTAATACAGGGAATTTTATGAATATGGTTTTAACTTCACTGTCTTAGATTAATGATGGGGTGAATGAAAATGAAACTCAAGTGAACTAGATCATTTTGGATCGGAAGTGTCAAAGTGAGTTACACAAGGTGGCCAAAAATCAAAACTTGGTCCAAGCTAAGGGCCAATTTCTGTCAATATTTTTTTATTGGAAAATGTTTCATAACAAATTATTCTTATATAAATACAAAGGACCGTTTCTAAATTATGTTTTATGTAACATTAAGAACATAGATAACTTATGGACTTAAAAAAAGATACTACATCTGTGAAGCAGTTATGACCGGGATCCAAGCCCATTTATACTGTACATGTCCACCTTGGCCCATGTCATCTTCAGCACCCTGTCAATGTGTGCACCACAGAGTTGAAACAATGGGAATATGTATAAGGTCTTTCTGAGGTCCTAATGTCTTAAATAGATATACGTAGGTCTTTAAAAATAGGTTGCTCCACATGTCCTCTGTTACCTTCTTTTTCTGTCTTTTTACTGCCAGCTGCATTATTAAAATCATTAAATCATTATACCAACTATGCCTCCATGTTCAAACCATCTCAGTTTGGCTGTTCTAACATTATCTTTTATTTTTTTCCATCAGCAATAAACTTCTGATGACCTCATTCCTTCAGCTATGCCACTTCAATTTATTTTTTTTTTACATTTTTTCATCTTTGCCATTTCCAATTCTGTCTCTGCCTTTTTTTCCCTGTGAATGCCACTTTACATGCGGCTATTTCATTTTCTTACCTTTGATGTTTACTGCATTTTTTACGTTATAACTCCTGAGTCTTTCTCCAGTACATCTTGGCTGGGACATTTTTTTCACCTTGTACAGCACCTCCAATTTTCCTGGATAGACTACTTGCAACCTAACTGTTCTAGGCGTCTTTTATTAATATAGGTGTAAATAAATATTGATTCACTGAAATACCATGATATTTCATTTCCCAATACTGTATCAATTCTCTAAAGACCTGTATTGATTTTTAATTAAGGTTTAAAATGTCAACTTCCCTGCCAACAGTTCAGTTTTATGCTGTAGTTTAGCCTCTGACCACTAGTTGGCAGCAGTCAGCCAGCAACTTGGCTCTTCCACTCCTGAAGAGCCTGAGAGTAACGGTAGCATTAGTATTGTGAGTAAACATTAGCATCATGCATCAAAGGCTGAATATGAGCAGAAAAGACAGACACCCACTGCATTCTAAGCTGAGGTAAAGTTGCCAACAGTTCCTTATTAGTCAGAATGTCCATATTTAAATTTTTTAATTGAAGTGTCCCATTTGGGGCACTCTTTCTCCTGACAGTAGTCAGCCATCAATTTGTCGAAGGCAGGCAGGCAGGCATGCATGTGCCTAGAGCCCCGAGCTTAGGGGTCCCAGAGGGACATCACTGATGCAGTCAAATTTAACGACCATATGAAACACAGTGCATTGAAATGACTGGTGTTTGTGTGAAGCTAAGTGCATAGTTATCACGCACAAGTTTTCCGTGGGGGCACTGAACCGTGAACGTTTTAAACCAGAGCGACAACTACTCTCCACCCTAGCAGCAGCTTTGCAGTTCAGCTCGGTTTAGCCTTGGTCCAAAAGTGTCTCCATGGTTCCAACCGAGCAGAGCCTCCTCTCACTCCGGTGGTTCTAGCAGGCAGAAGCGAGGACAGGACGCTTTTTATGGTTTTGACGTCAGCAGAATGTTGCCCGTGGATTAGCTGTTGATGGACAGAAGAAAGGAAGAGCGCAGATTTTGTTTTGGAATACGAGCACGACATGACGAGAGAGCAGTGATCAAAACTGCTCCCTGCAGGAGAGAAAGGCTAATCTCCAC